CAAGAAAGCCTGTGTTACATTGAAAAGAAGAAAGTAATTAGTAGAGATGTAGTCTTCAAGGCAAATAATTAAGGATTGTGGTAATATTGAGAAGCTGAGGAGTTTTGTGGAAGAGTTGTGATTCGCATACTCTATTTCTCCTTTAAGGCAAATAGAAGATGGAGGAGAAGTTCAAGAAGATGACGATTCACTTGTTAGTGATGAACATTTACTGGTGAAGGTGAGCAGGGGGAGCAACCTCCGCAACAACAATCCCTATCTCATTAGGTGAACCAAATTTTTTTAAAATGACCAATTTGATGAACACAAGGGTTAATGGAGGAAATCCATGGAAGAAGAAAGGATTTCTTATACAAATATCATCTATGACTTAATTCTACTACAAATTGGCAAAAAAAGTACTAAAAACTAAGTGGGTTTTTAGGATAAATTATGATGAAGAGAAGAAAGAAGTCAGACGTAAGACATGGTTGTTGTGAAACGCTTTGGTCCAAAAAAGGGATTTAGTTTGCATGAAATATCTTCTCTAAAGGTAAAAATATCTTCCATTCGTGTGATCCTGAGGTTAGCTAGCGGTGGCGGCAAGCCAATAATATTCGAGTCTAAATTCGCTTTGGTCCAAAAAAGAGATTTAGTTTGCATGAAATATCTTCTCTAAAGGTAACTCATCCTAAAACGATTCATCTTTTCAGAATTCTTAATCACATGCCACCCCATCAAGTTGTTGCTTTTCATATACACTTTGAGGTCTCGAATAACTTCGAAACAACAAATAAATCTTTTAGGATTTATGCTCCTTGGCGTCATAGAAAATTGAAGTGTTGTCTTTACAAATGTGAGACACTTTGACCTCTATTGGACACCCTAAAAACACTTAAAAATAAACTTGTTGCCTCTAACATCAAACTGGAAGTATCCGACCAATATAAAAAAGAACGTGCAGTTGGCATACGGATGCATCCGTAGATGTAGAGGTAAGGTGCACCTTCAAATTTTATCATGGTATATAATTTTGATGTAAAATGTTTTTAGGATTATTTCAAGATCTATTTTTATATTTAATTATAAAATTTTAAATTTAAAAACTGGTTAAAATCAAGTAAATCTATAAACATATGAAAATCTCGAAAATAGATGGTGTAGATAATATGCTGTAAAATGCAATATTTCTATTACTTAAAATCTTTTTATATTTCATGGTCATATATATCGATGTCGAGATGATCAATCAAAAAGTTTTTCAACATTAAAACTACCTTTTTCGATGGATTTTTGAGGTGCATCCATAGTTCTACATTATAAAGTTGCATCTTTATAAAAACTTTTTCCAAAAAAGAAAGTGGACAACAGAGCTCCCTACCTAACACCTCGCATTGACTTAAAAAACCTGATAGGTCTTCTATTAATTAAAACTAAAAAATGGATAAAGGATAGGTAACCCTACATTCATAGGGATTGTAAACAAATAGGTCATTTATCTGTTTTTAAATGGATATCACAATTATTCTCATTTATTTGATGTCAAATTGGATAGCTTGGGGGTGAGTCACAAAGTCCGAATTTTTTTTTTTGAACTTTATGTCTATTCAATGATACTCTTACAACCATATATTTTAAAATTGAAAGGAAAAGAATGATTATGACATCTTTGTACAAAAGATAAATAGTCTTTTTGTAGACGGTCTCAAATCTATAATCTTCGTCGAGCTCCAAAATTTATAATAATCATAATTTTCATAAGAATTTCGGACTCAATTTTATCGTATACTCTCTCCAAACTTATTTTATGCATCATGGTTAATAAACTACTCGCTGATCTTGTCCATTAGATCCTTCTCTTTGATATATCTTGAAAGCCCATTTGCTCATCCCACCCCAACAAGTTTCCAACTAGGCATTTGCAATTACACCAACCACCTCCAATATCAATTTATAAATCTTTTTACCAGTGCCTCTAACTCGATCTTTGTATGGTGGCAAATCTCCCTCCTCCCCACCAGCAGCAGAGAGTGAGAGAGCACTAACCTCAATTTTCTATCTTTTTCGCTTCAAAATTAAATAACTTTAGACATGAACTTCCATTATTTTAAGATATTGTTTTCTCTCTCTATCCTTTTCGCTTAGGAGTTAAATAAGTTAAAAAAAAAGTTTATATAAGGTGTTAATGGAATATGCATCTCAAAAATCCTCCAGAACGGATTATTTGGATTCTGCATAACCTTCCAATTGAAAATAGTGCATCTTGTATCGTAATATCTATACAACAATTTTCAAGATTTTCAAATGTTTATAGATCTACATGATTTGCACTATTTTTAGATTTGTAAATTTCATGACTAAACATACAAAAAGAAATTTAAACCATTACAAAGTTTTTCAACATCTAAACCATGTGTTGATATCTCAAAGGTCCGTCTTACTTGGATTGTTTAAGGTTAAAGTATTATTTAAAGCAGAATAATTTGATTGGGCTGCAGCCCTATCAAAGTAAGTAAAGCCTCACTATATAACTCATCCAAAGTTATAATTCAAACATTAAAAAACCTTTACATCAATCATCTCATCTTAAACATTATTGCTGCAAAAAATTTAGGATTTCAAGCTCTAGAACCGGTGTGTATTGATTATCTAATTCTTCCATTTCACCCAAAAAAAATAAGTGATGACCAATCTGCATCTGTACATTTTCTGAACTTTTAATTTTATTAGTGGAGTTGAAAATTGATTTTAAAAACATCATGAAAATTTCCATTGCCGAAAGTAAATTTTTCATAAAACCTGGGCTTATTGAAACCTCACCCTTATTTAAACCCCACCGTATTGTGGAAAAAGAGATCGACAGTTTCCTGTTTTCAAAAGAGAGGTCTGCAACGGATATAACAAGGAAGGAAGGCCTTCCCGCGCTTACCAAAATGGCCGCATTAAACGCTGCCAACGGAAAAGCACAGTCTCTCTCTCTCTAACGCAAAAGTACAGTCTCTCTCTCTCTAAACGTTGCCAACGCACAGTCTTAATTTGGGCTCATCAGCCCTCTCTCTCTCCAAGATTCAAGAACCCCCGCCCCCCACTCCATTGATCACTGACACGAAACCCTTGTTTTCCATTTCCTCTTCCCACCTCTGTTATCTCTTATTCAACACAATAATGCACAACCCATCTGTGAACTTGATCCATTTTCACTGAATACCTTTCTCAACACTGAAATGGGAGAAACCCAGTTCACCCAAAAAGAAGAAATGGGAGGAACCCATCAAGAGCTGGACATTGAGAGCAAAGTTTCTTCTTGGGAAGATCGATTTCGCTATGGAGTTGCAGACTCTTGGGATTCAGAATCCATGGGTATGGTGAGAGTCCGTTACTTCAAGGCAAGGTTTAGATGGAAGGAGAAAACCTGGGTCATCTCCCTTTTTGTGGTACTGAGTTTGGTGGCCTTCATTGCCACCATGTTCGTCAATGACTGCCCTACAAATTCTCATGGTGACTGCATCTTGAAGTCTCTACACCGCTTTTCCTTTCAACCACTTGATGAGAATCCTCTTCTTGGCCCTTCTTCCTCAACGTAATCTCTCTCTCTCTCT